TCTATATAGTAAGAGAAAAAAAAAAATACAAGAATTTGCATGCTAATGACTGTCAATAATTGTAACAGTTACATCACTCACAGAATATTTCCTTTGGCTTTGTCGAGAAGACTGTACATTTGAGAGACCCTGTGTTTCAGTAAATGCAGGTTGCTTTGGAGTTGGAAGTTCTGGAACTTCACTACTAAAGCATGAGAAGAGCAGTATTTATAGTAGGCCTATCAGTGTCGAAATCTTGCATGCACAAAAGTCCTACATGTATATATCTCAAGATCTCCACTTGGAAGCATGGGTCAGAAATTGTTAGATCTATTAGCATTGCAATCCTATCTTCATTCCACAACTTCCATGCCTGGACACAGTATAGAGTAACAAAGACACACATTCGACAACCATGAAATGTTGAAATTAAAAAGATTAAAAGGAACTACATGGAGTAACTCAGGCAATAGTTCAAGTGAACTTACAAATCCCAAGAGGCTTAAAGAGTGCTCATGATGACAAAAGCTAATGTTCTTTCACCCACTTAAAATCTCTAACAACAATACTCTGAAGCTAAACACATCAGATTTTTCCGAGAATCTCACTTCCATTGCATATTCAGGGCCCATATAGCCGTTGCACTGTGTCATTACTGCCCAAATGGTAAAAATATTTGAGTTAAACTATCCTATGAGAAAAAAGGATTATAACATGAATGATTAACCATTTTGGACAAAGCAGAGACTACTTACTAAGTTCCAACAACCCTTCTAGTGTTTGCTTGGTCCTGGTTCCCTCCAAATATCTTTGTTGTGCCGAAATCTGAAATTTTTAGATTTAAGTCTGCATCCAATAGAACATTACTAGCCTTTAAATCTCTATGAATAATCCTTAATCTGTAATCCATGTGAAGGTAAATTAGTCCTTAGCGTTGGGATTCGGCGAGGTTGTGGTACTTGAGGGGTTGACCGGTGAGGTTGTGGTAATTGAAGGGTTATTTTAGGGTGTGGTAGAGGAAGAAGGAGGTGGAAGGATGTAGCGGCGCGCGGCAGGTGGCGGTGAAGGAAACTGGACATGGCTCTGCGTTGGCTTTGTGTGAAATTATTGTAACGCATGTGTGTGTAATGTATATGTGTGTGTTGATATGCATGATGGAAGAGAAAAGAAGAGTTGGTGATGTTAACTGCTAACTGCTGGGGAGATAAGAGCGAGTCTCTACAAAATGTATACATGTATATTACTTAGGGTAGTTTGGTCATTTTAGATGAGATGAAAATACATGGTAGGGCATGTTAAACATTTCATGTCACTTAAAGTTGTATTTGGTTCTTTATTTATAAAATGGGGTGTCATTGTTTAAGTTTTTAAATCCGAAGACAAATGGATCACTCTTAACTTGTATCTACCTGTCTTTTTGAACAAGCCCGAATATCACCGAATTTAAGCCTTTTTTTTTTTTTTTAAGCCCACAACACCAGTGGTAAGTTGAGCTTTTGAGATTTGCCATTACCAACACACCAACCAATTCCTTTGATGAGAATGCGCCAAGTGGACTAGATACTACGCCAAGCCTACAATAGAGTAGCTCTTAACTAGGCATTCAAAAATGAGCAAGACGATAAGTATTGGACATTAAACCATTTAGATTTGTATCATGAAATAAATTTCTAGATTTGCATTACAACAACATTGTTGTTTTTTTTTTGCTGTCAAAGCCAACTCTTCTAGGCCTCACCGAGGCCTTACCCATTACATCGCTTTATCTTCCATCCAACTTACCTATTTTATATTTTTCTAAATAATCTAGTTACCTTTTCATTTTTTTTTTCCCCTTCCTAAATCATCCAACTTAGTTTTCTTTCTCTCTTTTTTTTTTTCAAAAAAATTATGAATAGAAGTTCTGGAGTTTTTTTTTATTATTTTTATTTTTAATCATGGCATTACACAATAATATGTGGTTAGACACTTGCTCAACCTGATCTTTACTATACCACAACTCACAAGTTGGGGGTGCTCAAAAAATCCAGTAAATCGAAAAATCGGAATGGATCATGTGATTTGGTCTAATTGTACAGGTCTAGTTGTACAGCGGTTTGATCCGGTCACGAACCCAAAATTATGAAACACTAATTTTTCGATTCAGTCTTGGGTTAGGATCCTGGACCGGCCCGGCCCGGACCGAACCATTACTATGTTATTATACATATATATATATATATATATATATATATTATACCGTAAAATAAATCCTAAAGTAAATTTCTCACCTCAAGTCTTCAACTTCACTTCTCATTCTCAGCCGCGGTGACACAACCCCAATTCCTTAATCCTCAGCACTATTATTACGAAAATCTGAGTTCTATGAGCACAATTGCAATTAACATTCAAAGGGGTACAATTTCAGTTCTCTAAGTCATACTTTGATAATTAACTACATGTCCCTCTCTCTCACAGTCTCACTCTAGTAGTCTACCATTCGCTTCCACGAAATCTTAAAACCCTTGAAACCCTCTATTCTCACGATCTCCTCAAAATCCTTCATACCCTTTGTCGTCCATCACCACAAACCCTTCAAAAGATCCATAATCATCTAAAGCATCCAAAAGTATGTCTTTGGTTATTTTTAGTGTTTCTATTTAATTTCTTCTTGTTGTGAGTAGAAATTTCTTTTATACACCAATTTTTTTCAATTTCTTAACAAATTTTAGTTTCAGGTTTGAGGCCTGAGCAAGTCAACGAAGGAATCATTGGCTAGCAATATATATATATATATATGCTCCAATTATTCCATAATTTTTAAAAATTCTTTTCTTTTTTAAGTGTTGATTTTATCTTCTCTAATATAATTTCTTTGCTTAATATAATCGATATGATTTGATTTTTTTTTCTTTTCTATTTTCTTAAATGTCATGATAGGCATAGTGCCAAAACATGTATTTCATAATTATTTTGATGCATTAGCAGGGGAGGCACATTTATGGGTTAAGTGAATCCCAGTTGATGTATTATAACAGGGAAAATAATAAGTTTTTTTTAAAAAAAATAAAAAAAATAAAAAAATAAAGAAATCAATTGAAACTTTAGAACAGAACTGGACCAAACCGGTCTTTCGCGGTTTTGTTTGGTTTGGCCCTATGTACATTATGATTTGATCTGGTTTCAAAAATAGTAGAACCGTTATAAATAATTTGGTTCCAAAAATTTCTCAATCCGGTCCAAACCGACCCTTTGCACCCCTGTTCCTTAACTCCCTCCGTCCCTATATATGACTGCCCTGAACAACAACCTCCCAAGCCTGTTAAACTAATGGTAGAACTGCCACTTGTGAACACCAAAATTTCAGCATTTTAAAAGGTTTAGGTCCACTAGCAAATTGATTAAAAACATGAACCAATACACCATAAAGATCTGAGCAAAGTGCATTAGAGTAAGATACCTTAGTCCCAGGGAATTTATCTAACCAATTTTCAACGATGAATACCCTATCCAGTTTACACCAATTCTTTTAGACCTGCTCTGTCTATTACACCAGCTCCATTCAACAACCTTTGAGGCACCCTCCACTCTTATCATCATGAAATCTTGTGGCATTCCAATCACCCAAAGTGATCCAAGGCCCACTTATCAACCTAGCATAGTGAAGAATGCAATCCTTCAACTTCAACCTCTCACCGTGAGTGTTAGCAGCATACACAGAAGAGCAAGAACATATATTTCCATTTTTGAAGGTTTTTGATTCTGGGCAACATACACTGATCATATTCTTCTATCACATCAACAGCAAATAGTAAGGGGATCCATCCCACCCACAGTCTGCCCATTGGGTGAGAAGAGTAGTTATGAATCCAAGACCAAGTTCTATTTATTTTCTTGTGAAAACCATTTTTGTGCCTTCATATATGTAAAACAGAACAAAACAAATTTTAAAGGACTGGAGCTGAAATAATTGAGAATTCATTATCGACTTCTGTCGTAAATTTTTTAAAAAAGATTTATGCTAATGCTATCACAATAGATTAATGGATTACGGATTTCAAAACTTGATTATGAATTTCAGGTGGCTACCATGGGTTACTGTTGTGATGAATCATATCCATTCTTAATAAACAAGTAAAAAAACCATAGAAACAAACGAGGATTATAAAGTAGAGGCAGATGCATATTACCATTGGAGAATTCTTGTATGTCAATTAAATTTCCACTCCATTGCATACAACCAATGTCACTATAATATTATTCAAGCACTCGCCTTCTGCAGTTATCCTCCGTGCAGTTGACCACTCTACGAAGGCCGGCACTCACAGTTATTCTTTGCCCTTTTCCTTTGGATCATGTCCTTGTAAACAGGTGCAAATTGGTGAATCCTGCATAATGCAGCTTCCAGACAGACCACACTTGCCATACAATTTTTTGAGCCAATTCTTCTCTGCAATATCGAAGTACTTTGACACAAAAATTCCATCAGAAACTCAACATCCAATTACAACAAAGTTACATTTGTAGTCGTGTAAGTTACATACACAGTTCCTTCTTTATCATCTACAACATTAACAGGGTAAATAGTATACAACACTAACAATCTGTTTCTATCCATCCATGACCACAAGGTTACCACCTTCAGATCAGACTCCCAGAAGAATCATGGAGAGGTTTATCTCTCCTTGCGACACACACCACACCGGTAAATGAGACGTCGTTATACCAGATTACTACATATTCTGTGAACCAGTGGAGACTGTACTATAAAGGGCCATTAATGGGGTGAATGGATGTACTTTTGTCCGTGGCTGTGCAGAATTCTAAACAGAAACAGTAAAGTACGAGAACAAGGTTTTAAAGAAGATCCAATTATAATAAGTTGTAGCTGCCTTGTGACTTAAAATTTGCAACACAGTTAGCTAATTAAAAACAAAGAATACAAGATTTGAGTGAATCATACATAGAGGATTTTCTCAAAAGAGAAACAATGTGGAAGGATAAAGGCAAACACTTAGTTCTGAATAGGGTGGATGAAAACATTATGTAAAACAAAACTATATTATTTGTATTCAATTAGAGAGCAATTAAGGGTCTACATAGTAAGAGAAAAAAAAAAAAAATACAAGAATCTGCATGCTAACGACCGTCAATGATTGTAACAGTTACATCGTTCACAGAATATTTCCTCTGGCTTTGTTGAAAAGACCGTAAATTTGAGAGACCCAATGTTTCAGTAAATGCAGGTTGCTTTGGAGTTGGAACATGAAAAGAGCAGTATTTATAGTAGGCCTATTAGTGGCGAAATCTTGCACGCGCAAAAGTCCAACTTGTATATATCTCAAGATCTCCACTAGGAAGCATGGATCAGAAATTGTTGGATCTATTAGCATTGCAATCCTATCTTCATTCCATAACTTCCATGCCTAGACACAATATAGAGTAACTCAGACACACATTCCACAGCCATGAAATGTTGAAATTAGAAAGATTAAAAGGAACTACATGGAGTAACTCAGGCAATAGTTCAAGTGAACTTACAAATCCCAGAAGGCTTAAAGAATGCTCATCATGATAAAAGCTAGTATTCTTTCGCCCACTTAAAATCTCCAACAACAACACTCTAAAGCTAAACACATCAGGTTTTTCCGAGAATCTCCCTTTCATTGCATATTCAGGCGCCATATAACCGCTGCATTGTGTCATTACAGCCCAAATGGTAAAAATATTTGAGTTGAACTATATCCCATGAGAAAAAAGGATTATAACATGAATGATTAACCATTTTGGACAAAGCAAAGACTACTTACTAAGTTCCAACAACCCTTTTAGTGTTTGCTTGATCCTGGTTCCCTCCAAAAATCTTTGCTATGCCGAAATCTGAAATTTTTGGATTTAGATCTGAATCCAATAGAATATTACTAGCCTTCAAATCTCTATGAATAATCCTTAATCTGGAATCCCTGTGAAGGTAAAGTAATCCTCGACCAATCCCTTCAATAATGTTGGCACGTTTTCTCCAATCTAGGAGTTTTTGCTTGATTGGATCTGAGAGAATATTGAAGAAAGAAAAAAGAAAAAAAAAAAAAGGGGGGGGGGGGGGGAGGGGGTTAAATTGATGTTAAGACGGAATTTAAAGTTTTAGTAGATCAGTATGTTCACAAACAATTCTACCTTCTCAACACAACGAAGTTTCTACTCATGTTAAGGTTATGAAATTGAAATAACTAGAAAATAATTCTGTCTTCTCAAGACAATAAGGTTTCTACTGATGTTAAGGTTATAAACTGAAATAACTAAAATAACATCAAGAGCTTTTATCATGAACCAACCAAACAGAAATGCATCCAAGCTTTTATTTAGCATGTATTCATAGATCAACATCTTTTCTTCTCCTTCCACACAACAGCCAAGAAGCCTAACAAGATTGCGATGCTGGAGTTGGGAAATTACCACAACCTCATTCATAAACTCCTCATGCCCTTGTCCAGAGGATCTCGAAAGCCGTTTGACAGCTATATCTTGTCCACTTGCCAATTTTCTCTGAAATTAAAGATGAAAATGATTTTTTTTTTTTTTTTTTTTTAGGGTTGGTACATCGTAAAGTTCCAAATGAACAAGCACTACCTTGTACACTGGACCAAAACCACCCTGCCCGAGCTTATTAGCCCTATCAAAATCATCTGTTGCAATTGCCAGCTTCTCGAAACTGAATAGAGGTAGCTCTTCAAGTTTAATTTGGCTCTGATCATCTCCAAGCATGCTTTTATTTGAACAATCTGCATCGACTTCCCCTCTTTTAAATAACTTCCCACTTTTTTTTTTCCTTCCTGATTCAGAATTTAGTAATCGGTAATTCATATAATAACTAGAAATATGTGCTAATAATATATTGAGCTAATTTTAACGGGCATATACCTCGCGGTCTAGCCATCCACCTCAAGGAAAGATAGATACAAATTGCAATGGTTACTGATCCTATGAGAACTGCAACTGCAATAACTAGTTTTGTGCTTCTCTTTTTTCTTGTAAAACACAACAAACATTGAGAAAGTACTTGAGTTAATATGGATTTAATTCAAAGAGCTGAGAATTTAGACAATTTCCATTGCTCTCCTTTTCTGTGGGCAAATGGGAAAAAAGGATTTAACCCTTTTCTAAACCAGTTCACGGATATCAGGGGGCTAACATTTTAAGTATGTGCATTGGTTTATTTTCAAGTGATATTTGCTTATCTGAATCAACAAGTAAAATAAACAGAAGCAGAAAAAACAATACCAAGTTCTGAATATGCCACACGTATGTAAAGATCTGCCCCACCATAGGAGAATTCCTGTATGTCAATTAATTGTCCACTCCACTGCAAACAACCAATGCCACTATAATATCCATAAGCTATACAAGAACAATTATTGAAGCACTGGGTTTTGCAGTTGTCTTCTGAAGCAAATACCGACACAGCAAAGGCTGGCACTTTCACTGTCTTGAGCTTTAAAAACCGATCTTGTTTACCTTTTCCACCACCACTATTGTTTCTCTCACACTGCAATTGCAGCCTCCTTGTACATCCACTAGCCTAATTCCCTCTACTCCATTCCTCCATATCCTTCGGATCAAACCCTTGCAAACATGTGCAAATTGGCAAACCCTTCGCATTGCAGCTTCCAAATGGACCACACTTGCCATATGCTTCACATTCAGTATTTTGAACCACCCACGTAGTTTCCCAAGTCTCCTTTCCTTTTTCCCGGTACCTCTGCATTAGAGTTCCATTAGAACTTAAGGTATAGTATAACTGAGAGGACTTATTTGTATCAGTGTAACCAATACATACATTTCCCCTTTCATCATTTGCAACTTCAGATCTGCTATAGTATGTAGACGACATGTAAGGCGTGCCAATAAAAATCTGCCGATTCCATGGACCACTCCGCCAATATGGAAGACTACCATTCCAAACATATACTTCTGGAATATTCGTAGGATTGACGCCAAAAGTGTACCTTCCACTGGATGGAACTGAAGGGCTTTTCCATGAGGTCAACTGAGTCTTCTTACCTGTAAACTTGTTAGTACTAATTTTCATCCCCTGCAACAAAGAATCAGAAGGGTGTTTAAAACTCTCCCATATTATGTTTCCATTGGAGTCATCTCGCAGCATAAGGTTCCCAGAATCTGAAAGCTGAGCACTTGAATTCACCGAAGCATTTGGAACATCTGATGACCAAACAATCTGTTTCTGTCCATTCAGGACCACAAGATTGCCATCCTTGGATATTGTCACTATCCCGGAGGAGTCATTCAGAGGTGTATCTCTATTCGCAACCCAAACCACAGCCTTGGCAGAGATGTCGTTGTACCAGATACCAACATACCGGTTAGTAGAATTAACACTAGGGCTACAAAATCCCAATTTGAAGGTGGCACCACTAGAGGCTATAGTTTGAGGGTCATGGATGGGTTGAGTAGATGTAATTGTGTCTATGGCGGTGCAAAATTCGATACTACAAGAACAGTAAAATATGAGAAGAAGAGTGATTAAACTTGGGCGTACCATGGCTGTGTTGAGTGCTTCTTGTTTGGTGAAGATGATGGAATGTGTGATCTCTTCTCAAATGGGGAGGCGGCCACTGGATGGAGGACGCACAGCTGAAAATTCATTGGTTTTTTTCAAAGCGTAGTGCTTATCAGCTAAAACGAGATGATATACTTACACATGTATACAATTTTTAAATCATGAGGTCAACTGAGTCTTCTTATCAGCTTTGAATTTTTAAAGCTAAAAGATGCTTCAAAACCTGTCTGTCTACGGCTTTCTTGGAAGATTCATGTGAAAGAAAGCAAATTAAGGAAAGAAACCAAACAAAAGAATGAAGTCATCAATGACACCCAAAGACAACCCAATCATGATATTTTTTACCACCTAAAATGACCAAACTAGCCTAAGTGAAATATACATACACAAGTATACAATATTCTATCAACCCAACTCCAACACCACCATCGCCAACATCACCCACCACCGGCCACAACCTCTTTCTTTCTCTCCACTCACCGGCCACAACCACCGCAACCTCCACAACCTCCACAACCACCCCAACTTAGGCCCACCACCACCCACCTCCACCTCCACCACCACCACCACCACGAATCAGCCAATACCAGATCCGAACCCGAGACCACCTCCACCTTCGCCTTTGCCTTCGCCCTTATCATCCACCATATACCCAACCTCTCATTCCTCAGCAAACTTGACGACAGGTGGCGCAAAGCCCGAGGACACGACCATGGAGCCCGATCTTGATCCGATCATGGAGCCCTGTCACACCTCAAGCACAGAAACGCCGAGGACAGGACCTCCACAATACGAACTCGTCACTGACTCATTCGAACTCAAACACAGTTGCAGCTGTTGAACGCATCATCTCCTTCTCACTTCATTTCTCATCACAGGAGAGCGAAACATGTGTGTATATATGTATGGGGTTTCGGATTGGGGGTTTAAGAGATACTATGTGTCTGTGAATTGGGTTTGATTTACGATTCCTCTTGGTTCAATTAGGCTCGTCGGGGGTCGGATTGGGTGGTGATGATGGTGGTAGAAGTGGTGGTCGTGGGTCAGATTGGGTGACGGCGATGAAGTGGATTGGGAGGTGATGATGGTTGTAGAAGTGATATTCATCGCCGGATCCCGGTGAGTTTGTGGTAATCGAAGGATTATTTGGGGGTGTGGTAGAGGAGGAGGGAGGTGGAGGGACGCGGCGGCGCGTGGCTGGTCGCGGTGAAGGAAACTGAACATGGCCCTGTGTTGGGTTTGTGTGAAAATGATGTGTGTGTATACGCGTGATTGAAGAGAAAAGAAGAGTTGGTGGTGCTAACTGCTGGGAGTATACAAGTATATTACTTAGGTTAATTTGGTCATTTTAGATGAGAATGAAAATAGATGGCAGGCATATTAAACATTTTATGTCATTTAGTTCCTTATTGCATGCAATAGATTGAGGGACACTTCAGTTTTTTCCTTTTTCTTTTAAGGGAAATAATGAGAAGGTTATTGAATCCATTAATAGATTATTTTAATATTATAATTATTCTTCATATAATTTTAATATTTTTGTATTTATTTATTTATTTGTATAATGGGATAAATATATTATTTCTTAGTTTAGAATATCATAATTACCCTTCATACAATTTTAATATTTTTGTATTTTTTTATTTTTTTATATAATGGGATATTATTTAATAAAGTTAATTTTTTTTAGTCAAAAAAAGATAATTTAATTTTTTTTTTAAATATTAGAGACAAGGAGAAGAAATCTATAAAGGCAATTTTGTTATTTAAAAAATAATTATTATTTACTTGTAAAGTTAGAGTTAAGAAAATGAAATGGGATTTCACCTTCCAAGATGATTAATGGATTCACCTTCCAAGATTAATGGATTATGGATTTCAAAACTTGATCATGAATTTCACGTGGCTAGTTGTGATGGGTCATATCCATTCTTAATAAAAAGTTCCCATAGAAACAAGAGAGGATTATCTGAAGCACTTATTAAATTACAAGATCATAAAGCAGAGGCAGATGCATATTACCAAGCTCCAAGTATGCAACATGAACGTAAAGATCAGCCCCACCATTGGAGAATTTTTGTTCGTCAATTAAATTCCACCCCATTGAATACAACCAATGCCACAATAATAACCATAGGCTATATTCAACCAATGCCACAATAATAACCATAGGCTATATTCAAGCAGTACTCGCTTTTGCAGTAATCCTCCAATGCACCTGACCACTCTGCAAAGGCCGGCATTTTCACCGTCTTTAACTTCAAAAACCCATATTCTTTGCCCTTTTCACCACCAGTGCTGTTTCGCTCGAGAAATCTTTTCATCAGTCGCAACATTTTAACAAGTGGAAAACCAAATAGAAACATATACATAGGTGAAAAAAAAGATCAAATGTAATTTTTAGATAGATTCAAACTCATGTCCCCAGATACAAAACTTCATTATCTTCAGTACTCAATTCAAACTAAAGTTTAGTGAAACAAGCCAAACTAGAAACAAAACTACATGAGCTTCAGTATTCCACTCAATTAAATTAGGGCACTGAGGGAACACTGGTAAGTTCATAACATTGACAAAAGCTGGAAGCTCCATGAGCAGCAGGCAAATGAGTAACTTGATGAATTTTCCACTCGCAGCATTTTATGCCTTCTTCTCAATGAGCTTCTCGATCAGATCAGCTGCATCCTGGACGGTGGTAATAGACTGGGCGCTTTCTTCTTCCACACTGATTCCGAATTCCTCCTCGAGTCCCATCACAATCTCAACCTGCGCAAGGAAGGCCGGTATACTAATCAGTTTATGTCATTGTGTTGGGGATCAGTTTATGTCATTGTGTTAGGAAAAAAGAAAAAGATACCGAGAAGGCACCCCTTTTGCATGTACTTCCTTGATGGAAAAAAACACAAGCAATTAAGAAGAGACAGAAAGTACTAACTACACTCAGTTCTCAATCATACTCTAAAACAAAATTATAAATGGGACTAGAAAACAACATTCTAAGCCAAAAATGAAAATAAAAAATAGTAAAGGGACAGAAGCCTTAATCCGAATAAAAGAAAAAGGGATATCAGACATACTTCATCACTACATGTTGATGCGCGCTTCTTCCTACCTTTTCTTTTTCTTTTTCCTCTTACTTCTCTTCTTCCCTCTTTGGGTTAAAAAATAAAAACTAAAAAATTGAATGAATTTTAAATTTTGGGCTTTTAAGACTGAAAGATTTTTATTTTTAAAGAGGGGCGTGTTTATTATTGGAGGAAACTTTGGCTATAAGATTTGCTGGAAAAAAAATGGTTGGATTACCAAGTTTATGAGTGAGCATGTCTATCAATTTTGGATTGAGTATAAACCAATCAAATTGCAAACAAAAAGGACAGAAGCAGTTGAAATGTTAACGATCTATATATACATACATACATCTATATATATATATAGTTATTTATTTATTTATTATAAGTAGATAACAAATCATTAAAGGCCAGAAAACTAATTCGAATATTTCAAAACAATATATGACATGGTAAGTTGCACATATAGATAGTTCATGGGCAAGAATTGTTTACCGTGTCAAGAGAATCAGCCCCAAGGGAAACAAACTTTGACTCTCCGGTTACTGCAGAATCAGCTGGTAGTGCAAGCTGTTTCCTCACTATTTCACACACTTTGTTCACCGTCTCTGGTTTTGCCTGCTCAAAGACATTAGCTTCCTTAGGGCAAGTTGAATTCATCAAATATGATGACAAAATAATATGCCGCACTAATACGAAGTAGAATGCACTAGGGCTGGTAAACCCCATAAGCAACATATAATATAATACAGTACATTTTATCATCTCCCTTTGCAGTCCCAACATTTTGAGGACCACCCCCAACCGAAAAACACTCGCACAATTGCAAAAAGGAGGACATATGAGGTTGAAAACCACAGAATTGTGGTTCATATAACAAGCTGCCTGATTGATCCATTGCAAAGTCACAACAATAAGATGTGCAGAACAATAAACCAATATTCCAAACGTAGTATGCAATCAAAGACGAAGCAAGTTTTTAATGGTGGAGATTGAGGAACAGGCCCCCATGTTCTTCACATGGGCTGCCTCGGAGGATTTTGATAAATAATGTTGTGCTCTAAGAAAATGAATGAATGCAAATAAGCATCAGAGTTAAGATGGAGATGGTTGAAGTTAAGAGCCATTCACCTTGTAGCTGAATGCTATCACATGTTACTATTTTAAAGTTAGATACCACGGATCATGTTCTGATCTTAATATATTAATTAAGAATTTGGTACAGTTGCATGTCTGTTAACAAGAGGTGAATGCTCTGAACCAATGAAATGTCTAGAATGCAGAGAGCAATTAATGATTCTTAACCTGGACAACAAAAGCAGAAAAAAGAATACAATACCATAACTACAGAAAACATACCGCACAACAAACCCGGAAGCGTGACAGCCTCAGCGATGGGAAGCATTTCTCTTTAACAGAAAGGGAAACCGAATTGAAATTGGAAATTCGGGTAAGTGCCTGCTCAATTTGTGAACAAAGACTCAGTAAATATAGGTAGCAGAATAACCACAACAAAAAAGGAAATTACAAAATTAACCGTTTAACTTGAGAACTTCAAAATCTTTTAGTAGTATAGAAAGAGGATAAAAGAATATATGCATATTTCAAATAATTCTGGTTTAAACTTTTTCTTAGAAATTTAAAAATAACAAAGGAGACAATAGAAAAAAATTGTAAAAATTCATAGTTCACCAAATACTGTAATGTAAAAAAATTGAAAACACAAACAGAAACCTGAAAATCCAAAAATTTGGATAACGAGCTCAATAAAAGGAATTACACACCTATGATTTATCAAGTGTATTTGGTCATGCTGTTTGCAAAAAGTAGTTTAGGTCAAAAGGCAAAAAAGCCCCTGAATTATCTCAGATTTACAAATAACCTCCTGCACTTCAAAAGAAATCCATGAACTATAAAAGATTACAAATAAACCCCTTTTCTCTATCTGTTAGCATAGCAATAAAATTATGTAATTGCCCTTACGAACTAGAAATTAAAATTTTGAGTTGACAAGGATTGTGATAAAGTCAAATAATGTAATCCCAAGATGTACAGTCAAATGTAATCCAAACTATTTTCCCCAATTCGATTCCCAAAATGGATCTGTCCATATATTTATGATAAAAAGTAATTTAGTCCACTCAAAGAACAAATTGGTTTAACATAGCATTAATATGTCATGCGAGGGACTTGGGACTTTTTTCATCCATTTCCTACGGAAGAATTGGCGGCAAGGGGTAAATTTCTGATTTTCATACTTTTAGAGGGTTTATTTGCCAAATTGAAAGTTCAGCATAATTATTTGCAAATCTTAGAAAGTTCAAGGGTTTTTTTGCATTTTGCCCAATAATTCACCATAAATGAAAAATTAAAATTAATCTAATAAGTTGCTAAGAAGCAGAAGACCAAGAGATTCAGAAACAAATGCACAAGATCGATTTATCATAATCCACGATCAAATCCCAAAATTACACAAGATTTGAATAACAACTAAAACACATATAATACATGATAAGCTTAACAAGCATTTTATATATACATACATATATATATATATATATATATATATATATATATATATAGAAAAATATTCAACAACAAAACAAGATCTGAAAGTTTATACCTGATTTTGTTTGAGCGAGTATGAGAGAGTGGTCATGGACATGGACGATCCAGTAACAGAAGCCATTGAGGGACCGGAAGAGAAATAGATATATAACAGTTTAGAGAGAGAAAGTGAGAGATCTCACTCAATCTGAGATCGCAGAAAATGGAAGAGAGGGAAAGAGGCGGAGAGCACGAAGATTGTGACAAGTATCGAACTTACACTCAGAGATACAGATTAGAATGTGATACTACTACCTACCACTCTTTACATACTACTGTGGTTGGCTTTGCTTTGTTTTTATCGAAATTGGGAGTGTTTGGTTTTCAGACTTAAAAATGAAGATTCGGAGTGTTTGGTTTCAAAGGTCTGATCAGTAGTACAATGTCAATAGTCTGGCCGAAATGCTAAGCTTGGATCATTTCGGCCCTCAGGAGGGACCCACATGAGTAACTCTCGAATGCATATGGCACTTGGGTTAGAATGTAGGTTTAAGTATCATTTTTCTGTTATATTGTAATATGACTTAAATACATCTACTAAAATTTTAAAAAATCTTACATTGACCTCCCTCGTAACTGTTTTGACTTATGAATGACAAAAATAAAATGAAATTATTCTTTTACCTTGATTATTTTGATAATAAAATACTTAGTATTGTGAATTGATATTTTTGCCCACTGATTATTAAAATCATTTCCCCTTCTATCTAACTCTCTATGTTACTTTCTTGTGTGACGACCCTAGATTTTTCAACCCAGCGTGTCCTGTAATGACCTGAACCAGATCCAAGTTGCGGAAGCAAAAGAATTGGAATGGCCTCAATAGATGTACGTCATCCCTAAGACACTGAAGTGACTCTCCATAAAGCCACTAAACTCATATGAGCCAAACAAATGAAGCAAGAATGCCTAATCCGAAAAGAAATGAACCAAGGGCAAAATGGTCATTTTTAAATTGAAATGGGTGTCACTGAGCACACCATTGGAAAAACAACGAAAAATGAACAAGGTTGGACTCAAGAATCACCTGATTCTGAGTTCGAACGGACAAGATATGAATTTAAAACAAGGTGGCCTTCGCCGTTTAAGAATTACCATGAACCTATCTTACTAAAACTGGAATAACTCTCATCATAGATGGAGTTATGATGTGTGGTTGGTACCATTGGAAAGCTAACTTCATGCTCTTGAAGTTAGGCTCAAGAATGAGCTGATTTGGATCAGAGATGAAGGAGTTATGACCTTCTGAAGTTGAAGTCACAAAGCTGATCAAGAAAACTAGAAGGAGAAGGTCCCAAGGAGGATCGGTCGACCGAAGACAATGGTCAGCCGGCCGAAACTCAACCGTCAGCCGCCCGAAGCCCATAGTCAGCCGACCGAAACACCCTTTTTCACCAAAAAGGCTATTGGAATGGTCTCGAGACAATCGTCAGCCGACCGATGGAGCTCCATCCGCCGACCGACACCTCTGCTGCTGCTATGAAAGCTGCTGCAATCCATGGGGAAGGTGCTTGGCTTGGTTCTAAAGCCTTACATGCTTCGCAAATGATTTAAACAAGTTTCAAAACATCTTTAAACCTTAAATGAACACCCATAACATGCTAAACCGAAAGAAAACGTTGAATGATGCCAATGCTTGGATTTTGCATAAAAATTCAATAAATCGCCCACAAATAGGTCAAAAGTTGAAACTTAAGAGTTTTGTGAAATGTGAACATGCACGCAAACGTAAAAAGACATTTAAGACACGTTCCAATGGTCCACGACTTTAGGATGTCAAGAATGCAAAATATGACCTCTTAACGGCCAAAAATGCCTAAAAATGGAATAAATGGAACCTCAATGCAAAACCTAGAATGAAATGGTGTTTAGCCCTTGGCCACACCTCATGCATGATCATAGAAACCCTATAAAAAAGAAAGAATGGAATTCCCACACCCAATGCAAAAGTTACGAAGAAAAGACTTATGAATTTTCAATATTTTCATAATAACTTTGAGAATAAAAGTACCTAGAATACAAGTTACATGTCATTGACCTCCGGCCTCATCATATATATGTTGAATACAATGAAAATGAGTGTACTTATGTACACTTTACATATTTAGAATCAAATAATACAAGTTACATACATTAGGCTATGAAATGATAGTTCATGCTAACATTTGTAAGAAATGGAAACTGAAAACCTAGAAGCTATCCCACTGAATAGCAAGCATCACGAACCAAGTCTTTGTACCTGATCAAATCCCCCAGTAACTTCAGGGTGAGTAAACAAGTTTACTCATAGAGAATGAGCATGCATCGACTCGATTTCTTTAGAGATTTTTAGGGCTAACATGATATAATTCAAAAGGGATCATGCCACCTAACGTCTATGTCAAAGATCAGACTCAGGGGTCATCCTAAGCTACTATGGAGTAAAAGCAACAAAAATCATGATATATCTACATATATGAAGTAAGTCAAGATTGGGATAATCCAAAAACACGATGAGAAGGATACTTGAATATAGGTTAACATGAATTGCATTATCAATACAATTAAGCAAGGTTTAGAATAATTCCATACAACACGACAAGAAAGTACTAGAATACAAGTATCACATTATTAATGGAATTAAATAAGGTTTAGAACATACCAATTAACACAACAAGAAGTATACTCGAATACAAGTTAACACGAATTACATTATCAATGCAAATAACATTATTGGAGCATTCCAATTAACGCGTAGAAGTAATACACGAAATGAAGAGCAAGACATAATATCTATGCAATTAAACAAGAATGGAACATTCCATGAAACATGAAAAGAGTTATACATGAATCAAGAACAAGCCATAATATCTATGCAAGTAAACAAGATTGGAGCATTTCACATACACGACAAGTTTAAATCTTCAAGGAATAGCAACTTGAAATTTAAGGAGTGAAATCAACCAATATGGAAACTCGGATTTCGCCCGGATTAAAACCGTACTCTTGAGATCACTTTAGAACTACTAACCCATGGGTACCTTTCCCCTAGTGTGCATTATAGTGTAAGAGGACATTCCCCCATACTAGAACCAAGTCCTAGCCATGTCAATTCTTGATTGATATCCCAGGTCCCAAAATCAACAAGTTATGCAAGTCAAGATTGTAACAAAATACAAGAGAATGCATTAACCACATTTCATGCACAACCAAGATTTTGGAACACACAAGTCATGCCCTAAGTTCTCAACTATGATGGCATGTGAAATGTCAAGAAATCAAAGTGTGCATCTATATAAACTAGAACCAAGACATATAGCACGAGAAATCCATCGAAGCAAATATACTACAAGTATGAGTTACATGATTCAATTGTATACAAAACAACACGTGTATATAAACCGTTCCAAGACAAATGAGCATGTTCATTAAGCACATTAATGAAACCAAGACACAAGAAGTTTAGATACATGATATCAAGGCATGATTAACTCGAGGAAGGCATAAAAGAGAATTTAATCTACTTGAGGGATTAAATTATCAAGGTTACATGGCAAGTCCAAATGTTCTACGAATAAGTTATGTCAAGGATCATATCAAGACCAAGTTCAATATCAAGTTTGAAGTTCATTTCATACATGACACAACCATGAGAGCTAAGTTCCATACAAGGGAAATAAATAAATATAAGTTTCAAAACTTATCCGGTTATGCTCAATGTATAACACGTGAAGGAACTTATCAAGGAAATCACGAATACAAGGTTAGAAACTTAATCTAGCTCATGGAACCATTGAATGGATTTTAATTAATTCATTTAATTAAACTCTTTAGATTTTAAAAGTCATCCAAATGACCTCAAATTAAAGTATGCTATACAACATATCAAGACTTGTTTTAAAACCATGATACAAGTAAGTTCTAAGCAAAGTACTACCTTGAATATTAAACTTTAATACTAGAAAAATAATAATTGAAAAGTTTCAAAACCTAATCAAATATTCTAGATTTAATATATATGAAACTACATGTCATGCACATCAAGAATTTCAAGTCAGAATTCCAACGGGATGAATAGTACATTTGGAGCAATTTAATTAATCTAATTAATTAAATATTACTAGATTTCAAATCACTTCCAATTTCTCTCAAATTCACCTATGTTGGAGAGCATACCAAGGCCTAATATAATATGCTAAAACATATTGATTTCAAGCTAGTTAAGACCACATAATTTAATATTTTATTCAAGATAAATATTAAATAAAATCTTCAATACTTGTCCAAATGATCTAGATTTAATATATGTCAATCAACATATCAAGGGGTAATATTCTATCATGCCACATGATTAAACAAAGTTATGAATAACCGAAAAAATTAAATCCTTCACAAGAAAAATAAATAATAAAATCTCTAAATTTTATATCCAAGTATGTAATTAAGTTGTATAAGCATCACAAGCATGTAATATAGCAAGAAAGTAAATTATAACACCCCCTATCTCAATTTGAGATGAAAATCCCAAATCCCCACCGGAAGAAAAGTGTTCCAAATCCGCCGAAACCGAAGAGTTTTGTCAGGGACAACATGATCTACATGAATCTGAAGGAAGCCCCATGAAAATCACAACTTGACTTCAAATCCTAACTCAATAAATGGTTAAAAATGAATTCTAATAAGGGGGAATGGTAGAACATGTCGAGGGGAACAAAAAATGTGAAGGCCGAAGACTTTTCACTTAGGAAAAGTAAATCAAAGGAGGAGAGAGAAGGTGGCAGCTCCATGGACATCCATTGCTTCTTCAGGTCGTGCAAGGGGAGTGGGGAAGATGAAAAATGAAATATCTCATCCCCCTTTTATAGTAATCTCAAAAAGTACCCCGAACGGGCCCCGCCGAATCCGGAAAAGTGGATTTTGAGCAAACACGCTCAAACGAAAAAACTCCTTGAACAAAAAAGATTCAAAATGATAAAATATGAACAACGGAAGAAACAGAGTCGAAAACCAAGTCTCGAGCAGAAAGTTATGCCCCGAACAAGTTCGGCGGCATTCGGGTCCAGAAACTCTGAAACTGGAGAAAAATGACCAGAAGTAATTTTTAAGAGTCCATGACTCGAAAAAATGTGAAAATGAATCTCGTACGAGGCTCTAGGCTCCAGATGAGGCATTTTGCAATAGCTTTCGTTAATTGCATAATAGCTCCTACAAAAAGGGTTAACTGCGAAACTGCCCTAGAATGAAAATATCTTTCAAAGGATATTTTCTTAGATGCCCCTAAAATAAGATATCTTCA